GTTGTTCTCTGTCTCGAGCGCATCGTTCTGGCACAATAGGCGTAGCCAAGCCTCGCTGCTGGTCTCGTAGGACACAGTGGGAACGGTCACATCACCCGCTGAGGGAGTTGGACAATTGAGTGCAAGTTTCTTGAGTTCCTCCCAAGGTGGCTCGGGATCTTGCATGCTTATGTAGCACTCGAGTTGCTTCGAGGATTCGACGTCCTTTTCTTCGAGTTTTTCCTCCTTGGAGAGCTAGAGGAGATACTGATCGTAGTCGAAGTTCTTGAGATCAAGGATGGGTTCCACATCGTTGGGATTGTCCCACCCTTCTAGAGCCTCTGCCATCTCTTCATCGCCGTGGGCGACCATCCCGATGAACCAGGTGGCGAGGTCACAGAGGTATCGGGAAGAGTCTGAATCATGAGCGTGGCTCTCCTCAATACGAGGTTCGGCAGGTTCCGCCAGGGTTTATTGAAGCCAGCTTGAGTATGTCGCCGCCATGTTCCTTAGCCCGATCAGGAAGCCGGGAAGAACGTGGTCGGGTGGCGATGGTAGATCCGATCTGGGGACCCAGTTTGGATCTTGCTAGAGTCAGATTACAGCGTCGAGGTCATGTTCTCGACCAATCTTGGTGAAGATGCGTGGCCGTAGCGGTTTAGGTGTTGGGTGAGAGCGCACGGCCCCTCACCCACTGCTTCCTCCAGTCCGGCAAAGAATGCATAGACCGGGGAAGGCTATTCCTCCTCCTCCACGGGTGGCTCGGGTTCTTACAAATGCAAGTCCCCGAACCGATCAGCGATGAAGTCCAGGTTATCGAAGGTGATCCTTCCACCTGGCTGCATCTTCTCTACGACATCATCGAAGTTGAAGATGATTCCCATCTGAAACACAATATCAATCTGTACGCGAAAGGCCCCTACCTGGTGCGCCAACTATCAGATGATTTAGCTCCAGCAATGCCTAGCAATGTGATCGCGTAAGAGGAATCAGATGGTAGCACACGAGACATAAGGATTTATATTGGTTCAGGCCACAGTGGCGTGTAAAATCCTAGTCCAGTTGGTGCTGCCGCTCTGCTTGCATTCGTATGCTTGATTACAGGGGTTGTTGCTCCTAGCTACCTAGTAGATGAGGTGATAATGAATGTTCTCGTCGTGCCGAACGCGGGATCCCTACCTCCCTTTATATAGGCAGGGAAAGTAGGGTTACAACGAGGGTGATCGGCCTACCAAATTGGATTCCTAGTTTGTTATAACAGATCAATCATATCCTTCCTGAGGTTATGTTGGCGCCGGATATCCTTGATACGTCGTGATCCCCAAGCTGATGGTTTCATCTAGTCTTCGTGGGCCTCATCCTTGAACGCCCTTTACTTGACGGGCTAGATATATGGTTGGTGAGGGTACCCCAGGCCCATATATCCGACACCTACCCACGCCATCATTCTCTTAGGGCTTATTCGATTAATTCTCTCTCCAAGATGAAGAGATAGAGAAGATTTTGACATGTAAGGGATTTATAATCCCCCTACAATTCTCATCAAACCAAATAAGACCATGTTTGGATCCATAAAGCTAATAGTTAGCTGTTAATAATTAGCTCCTTTAGATTCAAATACATGTAGCTAATAATCTAGCAAATTGTTAGTTAATATCCAACTAACAACTATCTCACTAGTTGGACCAAACCAGCGAATAGCAACTACTCTCTTCATTCCAAATTATATGATAAATTCTACAAATTCTCAGAATAATCAAAAATATTTGACCTTTAATTTGGTAGACTCTTAACATCATCATCATAATAACCATTGGATCTATTTTTTATAAAAATCTTATCTTACTATTACTAATTAGAGCAATCGAGTCTCCACGTTAATTCTCACCAGACATGCTAGAAAATAATCAGAAACATCTGTCCTTTAATTGGTTACTCTTATCATTATCGTTGATAGTAACCATTGGATCTATTTTATTGTATAAAAAATTACCCATCTCTATCATTAAGAAAATACATAAAGTAACCCTAATTTTGCATCTAAATTATCTGCTTCTACCATTACAAAAGATAATTCAAAATAACCCTATAAATCTATATATAAATTATCCACCTCTGTCATTATCAAAGATAATTATAAATAACCCTCTAACTTTGAATATAAATTAACCACCTCTACCATTATTAAAGATAATGCAAAGTAACACATATGTTTGCATTCAAATTACCTATATATATATGCCATCATGAAATAAAAATAGAAAGCAATAAATTTTAATTTGTATCTAGATTATCCAACTCTATCGTCATAAATAATAAACAAAAATATCTCACAAATTAAATCTCCATAAACTATGCTATATGTTTCTAAATTACAAACTTCTACAACTGTTAAGTTAAAAGTAAGAAAATGCTATGTTCCACCATGTAGACCAAGTAAACATGTATAAATTAAGATACATATTTATTTTAGTTGCTTATCAAGTGTGGAAAAATGTTCACTTAATAAACCACATAGCAATAACACTAACAATTCAATTTAAGTTATATTAATATCCATAATAATAAATTTCATAAGTTGTTATTATAAAGAAGTTTATACATTCTGACCAAAACATATGTAATATTAATATTGGTAATTTATGTTTAAGCACTTTATGTTTTGTAAGACAATTCTATTCCATATATAATTATGTTATATAATAAATTCAACATGTCGAGTGCTGCCATGCATGATAAAACTTATATTGTTGTAACAACAAGAGGGTAACCTAGGACCTATGATCTTTCTTAATAAAATAAAAAAATTAAATAAAAAATAAACTAAGCACTAGAGTTTTGACTTAACATGTGGATAAACAATTGCAACAACTAAATTAAAAGTTGAAAGCTAAACTATAGGTCCATGATGTCACATAAAGTAATGCAACAAGAGTTTATATATTTTCTAGAAACTCTAACTAGCGTTCTCTAGTGGAGTCTCTATGCTAATCCTCATGAAGCTCGCTTGAAAAAAAGAAGACAAATTCTAGAAGTACTAAAAAATCAGAAATATCTAGCTGTCTATTATAGACTCTAATCACAATTGATAATTATATAATTATTGTATCTATTTTATTTTCTAAATAGCTACCAGCATAAGGTAACATATGAATCTATATTTAAATTGCCTAGGTATACCACTAATGAAAATGATCTAAAGTAAACCTAAATTTGCATCTAATTGCGAACCTACTATTATGATAGATAATATATGTAACCCCTAAAATTTACATATAAGTTACCACTTACATTTATTAAAGAAAAATCTAAAACATCCCCTCAAATATAATCTAAAGTATCAACATTTTCTATTACAATTTTTTTAAATAATCATAAAGCATATATATGTTTCTACGTTGCCCACTTCTATTAATATTAATATATTAAAATTTTGATTAAAGTAAACATATAGGTTGTGCCATCATGTAGATCATGTACACATGCATGCATAGAATACAAATATATGTGTTATGTTTTAGTAATCATGAAAAATATTTCCTTTACCACTCATATACTAATGATATTAATAAATTTTTTAAAATTATTAATAATCTTTACATATAATTTATATAAGTTATTACTTTAGGTATATTTATACATTTTAATAGAAATGTTTGGCATATCTATATTGATAGTGTAACAATTATTTCACATATAATTCTTTGATAAGAAAATTCAGACATTTTTAGAAGTGCGAAGGTTAGTGCAAACAACATTTGGCTATATAGTTTTGGCCTTTGAGATTTCTTTGGAATAATAGTCATTATAAGACTTAAATATTAATGTCCTCTTGAGGTTAGCACCTTAAATATTAATGTCCTCTTGAGGTTAGCACAACTATTCATTCTAGATCTTCCTTCAAGCTCTATCACTGATCTTAAGCAACATGCTATAGGTTTTAAATTTCTATTTACTTAAGAGTGTAGTCTATGACCTCGAGCCTTTATTTTTTAAAAAGTACAAAAGAAGTGTTAATAAAAGATACACTAAGCACAAGAGTTTCAAGTTAACTTGAGGATAAAAAAATATTTGTAGAAATCAATAAGACTATTATTTGAAAATTAAAATTTAGGTTCATAATGTCATGAGGTATGGGCCGCAACAAGAACCACCATAGTCTAACTAAGGGTTCAACTAAATGGATATTAAAAATACAAAGAGGTGCCATGCAAATGGAAAACAAACTATGGATGTGGATGCAAATATATAATCACTAATTTATAAGTTTATCACAGCTAGATAGAGACTACATAGTATATATTATGCTTATTGTAGAAAATAAATAAAGAGAAAAACATTGAATTTAATATAAGTAATTTTATTACCAGAGGTATTAAAAACTAATGCTTATACTCGTAAGATACCAGCTTGTCTGAAAACACGGGTTAATAGACTAGTATGTTTATTATAGTAGTGGTAGTTGATCTAGGTATAGAAACATAGACTTTCATACCAGACCAGTAAATTCCTGAGGAGGCATGTCGTCAATTCTTGTGCGGGCTGTTGGCCCTGCTATTATCTCCAGGATTACAACACCCAAGCTGAATATGTCAAACTTCGTTGAGCGAATCCTGTTACCCCAATATTCAGGCGGCATGTATCCTCTGCACATCATAAATATAGCACAGACAACAAAATTATGTATATTTCGGTGTCATAGACAAGAAAATGCATTCCTAGACATGGAACTTACAGTGTTCCATGCACATGTTCCGTGCTCCTGGTTTGCTCCAAGATCTTGGACAAACCAAAATCCGCAAGTTTTGGTACCATGTTACCGTCAAGCAATATATTGTCAGGTTTCAGATCTAGATGGTGGATTGGATTTTTTAATCCCATGTGAAGGTATTTTAAACCCTCGCAACTCCCCTTAATGATATTATAGCGCGTGTGCCAGTCAAGTCCATGGCATTCATCTGCACAAGTAAACGAGTACAATTTTATATAAAGTGGACTGAAACAAAACAAAAAATGGTGCATCAGCGCCTACCAGATAGGTGGTTTTGAAGGCTCCCTTTGTGCAAGTACTCTAAGCAGAGTGCTCTGTATATCTTTTCAGCATGTACCAGTACTCCCTCGTGCTCAATATATTCACGATGAGTTTCATAGCAGTAGCCAATTAACTGTACGATGTTGGGATGACTGAGACTTTTGAGCTTATCAAACTCATCATGGAATCGTGCGTCATCAAGTCCTGGGTCCTTATCTCTAAACATCTTCACAGCAATCTCTTCACCATTGTGCACCCCCTATTCATGATATATATCATATATAAGTACTCAATTGACAAACACTTAGTGCAATCCCTGTGTGGTTTTCTGTTAAATATATATTGCTTCAACTTAATATATGAAACATAAATTGTGGGTCAAGAGGCATGTTCGACATTCCTCTGTTATGAACAAACCATGCATGTGGTGCAGCCCTGCAGGTGTATGGCTAGTTTGGAGGACACACTAAGAAAAAAGCTGTGGATTGCACTTACGCTGATAATCTTACCTTGTAAACTGTTCCAAATGTGCCTTGGCCAAGTTTCCGCTCCTCAGAGAAGTTAGCTGTAATTTGTTGTAATAGCTGGAATGTTATATCTGCATGCCTCATTGTTGTATTAAGTAACTTGATGTCCTTGTTTGGTGCTGCTCTGCAATAAATATAAATAAATATACATATACATTTATATTTATATATATATATATATATATATATATATATATATATGACTGCAGGAGCTTTGAATGACTAACCCAGCTAGTAGTACAGGGGAAGGAGTTTGAGCAAGCAGCTGTTGATGTAGGTACAAAAGCTACCTGTTTATCCCTACAAGATTGTCACGTTCTTGCTTTAATATAAATATAAATATGAAAAATTAAAATTAGAGAGAAAAAGAAGACCAGTTTATCGCGAACAAGAAGGGATCAATTAAGTGTTGTAGCAAAATGCATGCTTTTGATGACATAAGTTTGCGAATTGAATACACGATGAGCAGCACACCGAGCGCGTGAACGATATGGTGCGGCTGGCAATGATAGTGACCAATTCGGAGACGTACGGCAGGGGGAAAAAACGGCTGATTTCTTGGGACAATCAAATCCTATTTCAGGCTTCTTGTTGTTAATCTCTTTAATGACTTGTTTGGATCTCATGAATTGAAACCAATATCTAGAAAGGGCTTCCCATTTTATTATTAGATTAGTTTTCAATTCCTGGGAATCAAACAGGACCTAAGCGATTAGTGTTGTTTGTGTCCAAGAGACAATTATCCACGTTATAGATTGGATGCATACATTGGTCAAAGGAGGATACTGATTCTCAAGGATAAGTCCTAATAGGCCTCTAGTCTAGTGTACAAGTCCATTAACAGAATCTACATATATAAGGGTAGGCGGGGATAAAGGCTTTACACTTGGTTCTACCATTCCCAAACCCCAACGCGACAAACTCCGGGTGGAAGGATGAGAGGCCCGAGGCTGCTGCTGGGACGTGAAGACGACTTCCTCTACATTGACACGCACAACATTGGCCCAGACTGCAGCAACTGTTCTTCCACTGCATATCACGACTAGTGGTAACGACTACGGTCTTCTGCTCGCATGATATGTTTATTGAATGCGGTAGGAATTTTATTTTTTACTAGCATAGTCTATCCGTTCCCTTACAATTAGAAAGGAGAGGGATTTTGACTAGTACAAAAGATTTAATTCCCCTTTTGAATCCCACTAAAACCTTCGTGGGAGGAATGAGTGATCTACCAGCAAACCACCAAAGAACTCTCTGTTTTCATAGAACAAATCGAATTATATATGAGCATATCGCCAAAGAACAATGAACACTAGAACCAGTTTGTTCTAATGGATTTCTCAAACCCAAAGACCGGACTATTCAATCCACAATGAACTCACTTGATGATCCACGGGTGCTCTATGTGCCATGTATTGGATCGTCTGGTCAGCTGAAACTTATTTTCAACTAATTCTTAGTAGGAACTATTATAAAATGTGAATAAAAGATTTTATCTTTATGGTTCATTTTATGTGGGCCTACATGTTTTATGCAATATATAGTTTTTATGTAAACCCATGCATTCTTTCTTGCATCAAATTCAAGAGTTGAACCGATTCATGAGTTGGATTAGATTAGGTTTATACAACAGAATGGGTGGGGCCGTCGAACAAGGGCAGGTTCAATCCATTAGCAGGCCACGGTATAAGAGTTGGCTGATTCTTGGCATGCATGATGTATGGGGAACGGTACGTGGTATATGGTTTTGGGATGGTGCACGTCATATGTACCATCGGATAAGCATTCGGTAGGAGGAAAGCGATGGAAGCTGGCCAACTACCCAATTGTTGTTATGATACATATGAGCTTCAGTGGCAACGCAAGTTTAGACAAGCTCTTAAAAATTGCAATGAACTGGTCAGCGGACTGAGCATACGAACTTTTGTCAACTTACCTACAAATAAAACATGGTAACTTGCCCTTTCTTTAACAGAAGTGTTATATGGCAACCGAGTGTTTTGGACAAAACCAACACTCGATTCTCCACAGCACGCGCCCGCGGTGCCCGTGCCCACGCCCCCACGTGGCTCCTCCTTCTCTCCCCTCCGGTCGCGGCGGCGGGTTCCGGTGGCGCCAGCGCCGATGAGGTAGGCGGGCTCCTCCTCCTCCTCCTGGATTTGTACCCACCAGAGACGAAGACAACGGCGGCAGTGGCTAGGGTTCCGGCGAGCCTCTCCCCCTCTTTCTTCTCCAACTCCGATGGCTATAGAAGGGTCCGGACGAGGGAGGGGCCCTAGCAGTGGTAGCAGCGGCCGGGCCAGGTCGGGGCGGGGGAGTCTCGCCGGAGTTGGAGAACATGGCGGCGGCCAGGCTCGTCGGAGTCGGGGAAGAAAGCGGCGGCGGGAGGAGGGTGAAATGTCCTAAATGGCTAGAGGGGGTGATAGCCTAATTAAAAATCTACAAATCACTAGAACAAATCAATTAGTATAACAAATGGCTTAATTGAATTTTGCTCTAGCTCTAGTGATGGTGTTGCAAGCCACCTATCCAAAAGTGTAGTTAACTATGATCTCTATAACACACAAAGAGCTATGTTGCTAAGCCTACTTCTAGTGAGCTAGTTACAATTAAGTAACATTAAAGAAATAAACTAGCTACACAAGACAAGTAAGCTACCACTACTCAACTACACAAGTATATCAAAGTAAATACAAGAGAGAGTAGTGAGCAATATACCGAACCAGCAAGAGATCAATCAACCAAGAATACCAAGAGAGATGACACAATGATTTTTCTCCCGAGGTTCACTTATTTGCCGGCAAGCTAGTCCTTGTTGTGACGACCACTCAACTTGGAGGATCACGCGCTAATAAGTATCACACGACTAACCCACAAAAGGTGCCGCACAGCCAACACAAGATGATGATGCTCAATGTCACGAGTAATCCACTAGAGTCACCTTTCGCAATCTCCCACGGGGAATAGGCGCGAGAACCCCTCACAATCACAATCAGGTGTGGCAAAAAACAATCGCCAACTCTTGCCAACACTACCTTGCTGCTCCAAGCCGTCTAGGTGGCGGCAACTATCAAGAGTAACAAGAAAACCGCGGGCAACAACGATCCCCAAGTGTCACTAGATGCAATCACTCAAGCAAATACACTTGGAATCACTCAATCTCACTTTAGAGGCACAATCAAGCATGGAAATAAGTGGGAGAGGTTTGCTTTAGCTCACAAGGATGTATCAATGATCCAAATGTCCAAGAGAGTGAGCTAGATCCGGCCATCTCCTATTTATAGAGCCCCAAGGGCTCACTAGCCGTTAGTCACATGAAGGGCCTCCGACCCCATGGTCCGGACCCTGGCTCAGGGCGTTCAGACCAAGCTCTCTGGGTCCGGACCACCACCGCAGCCAACCACATGCCGCCATGTGTCTTGTTCAAATCCACTCGACCGTTGCCATGCTCAATGGCACTCTGCCACGCGTCCGGACTCCACCTTCGGACTCCAACAGAGTAGCGTCCGGACCAAGCGTCACCGAGGTCCGGAGCCATCCAAAGAGGTCCAGAGAGGTCAAAACCGCTCCGTACTCTATGAAATGGGAGCACAATTTGTAAGAAGGGCTTCCAACTTCATTTTAATGTTGAACCTAAATCTGAATCCAGGAAATTTAAGGTTGAACCCGAATCTGAAGCATGTGGGACAGATGAACAGTAAAGAGAGAGTAGGCAGGCAGAGGCAGGGGGCAGCCTGTTGCTGGCCATGGCCCATGCATCTTGCATGGGAGGGAATGCGAATCGAGGTGGAAGCTTGTGTTACGGATGAGCCATTTTGTTTCAGCTGCCGGCTTTCGCCGATCAAAAGCCACGAGTTAAAACAAACAGTCCAGCTATTGAGCAGTTTTTTAAAACCGGCTTACGAGGGAATGAACTAAAAGCTAAAAAGTTCTGACTTTTGGTGTGTTGAGAAACTAAAAATCTATATCTAATACTAAAGAGCCAAAATTTAATCCCTATTTTTTTTATCCACCTCCCTCTAACTACCTGAACAGTGAAGAGTTTCTCGTACGTGATCCGGACTCGTGACCGTGTTCATACGAGTTAGAACAACTCGCGTCTAACGATGATACGGAGTCCGATTCCAATATGCATTGGATTCTGTTCCAACGCACGGATACATTCGCTGGCTTATTATAAAAAAGTTAAAAACCAAAAGCCAGACAGAAAAGCCAAGTTCTGAGTCATCAAAAGTCAAAAAGCTACAGGCCAAACAAACAGCCCTGAGATCCGTGCGTGCCCTGCCAACATCAGCATCCAATTCCAAGCCCGTTGCTGAAGACTCGATGCTTTGTGGGTGCGTGGGCTACCCGACGCTAAGGCAACATCAGCATCCAATTCCAAGCCCGTTGCTGAAGACTCGATGCTTTGTGGGCTACCCGACGCTAAGGCAACATCAGCATCCAATTCCAAGCCCGTTGCTGAAGACTCAACATCATCATCCAATTCCAAGCCCGTGGGCTACCCGACGCTAAGGCAACATCAGCATCCAATTCCAAGCCCGTTGCTGAAGACTCAACATCAGCATCCAATTCCAAGCCCGTTGCTGAAGACTCGATGCTTTGTGGGTTCTACAGTGTTTTATGATTAATACTCCTATATGAGTGAAATGAATCATTAATTGGAACGATCCATTCATTGGAACCAAGTGGTTACGGGGCCAGAGACCTAGCATGCAAGTGCGTGGATCTGAGGGCGCGAGCCTTTTCTGATGTAGGAGTACTAGTACGACAACATACTCTAGTAGTAGTACAGATAAACCGCTCCAATACTAGTACGACAACATACGCTAGAACAAGACAGCGGCTTAATGAGAATAATAAAAGTAACAAGTTTCCCACAAAATTATCGGCAAAGCAGCACAAAGCAGAAATACTAGGCAAGATCTGATGAGGGGGAGCGGACCGACCTGAAGACGACCGACCTTCTTGCATTGAGGGCCTGGGACTGGGAAGCTGGTGAGATGGAAGCTAAGACGAGGATGCAGCACCAGCAAGCAGGGGTGAGGAGAGACGAATGGACTGTGTGTGTGTGTCTCTGTGGATGCCGATACAAATGCAAAGCTCTGGACCTTTGGTGTTACCGATTTTTCCACGAGAAGAACCGACTAGCGGGCGGGCCCCGCCTCAAGCCAGCCACGCGTGATGATGAGCCCAACACTGGCCAAGAATCGGGCCCACGCGTGGCCAACACTGTAGCAAAGCAGTCACTGCACCTGCAACAAAGCACTGCACCAGCAGCAAAGCTGCATGCACTTGCCCTCCACCGCTTTACCATCGCACGTCATGAAAGCTGCAGCAAAGCTGCAGCAAAGCTGCATGGTCGCAGGCGCGCAGCAGCACCTGCACCGCATGCACCCGCACCGCCACCTTTCACCAAGGTATATGATCGATCCCCTCCGTTCACAGCGACATCAGACGGCCACGAGAGATCTAGTGAGATGCGGCCAAATTTCACCGGAGCGCCGTATAGATTTAGCGAAAAAAAAGCCGTGTTTAAATCCAAACCCAAATTCCCAAAAAGTGCTACAGTAGTCATCACATCGACTCATGCGATACGTGTATGGAGCATTAAATGTAGACGAAAAAAAACTAATTGCACAGTTTGGTTAAAAATCGTGAGACGAACGTTTTGAGCATAATTAGTCCATGATTGAACACTAATGATTAAATAAAAACGAAAGTGCTACAGTAGCCCAAATTCTAAAATTCGGCCAACTAAACACGAGCTAAAGTGGTGAAAACGTGCACGCGTCCCGAGAGAGGGCGCATGCAGCAGCCGCAGTCCGCCTCGCGCTCGCGTCTCCCGTACCCATCCGGTCGCGTGGGTGCGTGCAGGTCGGCGCCAACATCTATGACGGCGCAATGTATTCTGGCGTCGAGCTATGCCACATCGGAGCCACGTCTGCGCTATGTTATTATCTGGTCTTTGACCTTGGCGTCAAGATCTGTGACATCGAGACGTGTTATCTCGACGCCATGAGTCCTGGTGTCGACCCCAGGGTCTAAAGATAAGTTTAAGTCCTCTAGGGTGTAATTTTTCTTCAAAAAAAAGGGGTCAAATTGTAAAATATTAGGTTTGGTTCCTCGTCCATGTTTGGTTCCTCGTCCTAAACTTTAGTCGTTGTTCCATTAATATTTGGACGCATGCATAGAGTATTAAATATAGACTAATTATAAAACTAATTGCATAGTTTACGACTAATTTACGAGATGAATCTTTTAAGTCTAATTAGTCCATGATTTGACAATGTGGTGCTACAGTAACATGTGCTAATGACGGATTAATTATGCTTAATAAATTTGTCTCGTAGAGTACTGACGAATTCTGTAATTTATTTTTTTATTAGTATCCGAACACCCATACGATATCCTCACGTGACACCTTCTAAATTTTATTCACAGTATCCAAACGACACCTAATCCTATATGCTGTGCAACCAATAATGTTGACTTGACTACGGTTGTACTTTAGGCAACTTTTTTTTTCCTCAGAGGAAACTGCCAAACTGTGGGTGTAGTACGTACAGTACGTAGCCAGCTGGAGTAACCAATAATAATGTTGACTTTCTGCTGGTGTGCCATTTTTTTCTCCGAGGAAACTGCCAAACTGTGGGTGTACTAGGGTATTCCCTCCCTTGAAAAATGTCATTATTTTTTTTCAGCAAGTAAATAAATCTTAAATTTAACTAAATATGTATAAAAAGACACTAACAATTATGATACGAAATAAATATTATTAGATGGATCATCAAATATATTTTCAAAATAAACCTGTTTAAAGATATGAATATTGTTAATGATTTTTATAGATCAATCAGGCTAGGTTCAGGAGATAATTCACTACTATGGCCGGGCCTATTTTGCTTGAATTATCTTTGGCAGTTGGTAATATCATCCATGGCAAAATATCCATCATGATTGTATTCTAGAGCCATGTGAGAAACCAAAGCTTCCAGCATAAGGTGGAGCACTCCGGAAGCGATTTATCGATCACACTTTATGTCATCATCCCACATAGCTGCACATACAAAACCTTCGAAAATTTGATGCTTCAGTCTTCCCATGCGTGCGAGTCTTAATTTCTAGCTAGAGTTATTTCTCTCCTCTGCCCTCCTAAAAAAGCCCAATTGCCCATCGCTCCACCACTAGATTCCACACATCTACTGCACACTCACCAGCCCAATTCCCTCTAGCCATGGCTTACCAACCACCTGCATCAATGATCCATGGCCATCACTAGAGCTCGACCTTTAATTTGCTCTTCTCTCCATGTAGTCAGTGCTTAACCCCAGAGGACAAGGATTCTGTGGTGCAGGAAGCGGGCAAAACAAGGCACACTATGACTACTCCAACTGTGAGGAGTCCATCGACGTGGACTTCAAGATAACACAATACAAGCCATTGCCATAAAAGTGGAGGAAGATGTGACTGAGCGAGTGAGGGCACAAGTGCAAGAGTGGTCATACGAGCAAGCACGTCAGTGGGCTTGCAGGCTAGTATAGAGATGGGTGTGGGAAGGCTAGTGTGCACTAGTACAAAAACAGTTTGTATTGGCTGTAGTTTTTTATTTTTACTGTCAGTCTTTTGAACAGCTAGCATAAAAGGCCACTAGGGCCTTGTTTAGATTACATCAAAGTTCTAAGTTTTTTCACTCTCTCTATCACATCAATTTTTGAACGCATGCATGGAGCATTAAATGTAGGTAAAAAAATAACTAATTGCACAGTTTGGTCGTAAATCACGAGACGAATCTTTTGAGCCTAGTTAGTCCATGATCGGATAAAGTTTGTCAAATACAAACGAAACGTGCTACATTGTCCAGATTGCAAAAAATTGCAATCTAAACGAGGCCTAGAAATGATGATTGTTCCATTTTGCGTCAACTTGTTCACTGGCGGGAAGTTTAAACCAATTGTCACTAGTACACAAATGATTTTGTGAGGCGGAGGGTTTTAACTAACCGAGGTGGGCAGGCTGGACGGCCGCCTCCGTTCATCAGTGGCAGGGCCACCAGCCGAGCACCCGCCTCGGTTAATGCTTAATGGAGGTGGGCATCATTCGGCGTCCGCCTCCGTTAATGCTAGATTAATAGAGGTGGTCGCCATAAGACAACCATCTTCGTTAATCGATTAACCGAGGCGGGCAACTTAAGACGTCCGCCTCCGTTAATCGATTATTTTTGGAGGCGGTCGTGTAACCGTCTGTCTCCGTAAACCGATTTACGGAGGCGGACGTCTTAAGATGTACGTCTTGGTTAATGATTGTAACAAAAAATAATTTATAACTTTTTCATATAAACTTAGATGAAGATAAACTTCATATCAAAATTTTAGCTCTCGATGAGATCTACAACTTTGTAGTTGAAAAGTTTTTGAATTGAAACTGTTTAGGATCCCAAAATATTGTTGTAAGTGCATAGATTTTGAAATGTAAAATTTAAAATTATCAAACGATCTCGGATATTGACATGGTCTATACAGAAGTTATAGTTCTCAATAGAATCAACAACTTTGTAGTTCCTTTAAAAAAACAACTTTATAGTTGAAAAGTTTTTAATTTAAAGATGTTTAGAGTCCCAAATATGTGTTTGAAGGTTATAGATTTTGAAATTTAAAATTTGAAATTCCTAAATGATCTCAAATGTTCACATAGTTAATACCAAAGTTCTAGTGTCCGACCTGATCTACATGTTTGATATTGACAAGTTTTTGTTTTAAAGTCACCTAGAGTCTCAAATATGTGTTTGAAATTCATATGTTCTTAGACTCAATTTTTTGAATTTTTTCAAACTATCTTTAATGGAGATACATCATATACCAAAGTTATAGTACTTGACAAGATTTAAAACTTTGTAGTTCAAAGTTTTTTCATTTGAGTTCATTTAGTAGCCAAAATATCCAATATAAGATTATGAAACATTGATGTAAAAAGATTGCTTATTATATATAGACATGAATGAGTGTGCAGTGCAGTGGTACATACACGGTAGTGCTACACACCCTATATAGATTGTTATTCTAGTTGGTTCATATTTAGATCTAATGGTTAATTAGAGTTAGATGACGATAGTATTTTGTGTAAAAAGTGACTTGTATGAAGAATTTATTAGTCTATCATCAGGATTTGCCTTGTTAGATCTGGATGACACAACCATAGGTTAAGCGTATTATCAGCAAAGTCTTTTAAACCAGAAGATTTATATATATTTGGCATTAGACAGCGTATGCATATCTTACTCTTTTCTTAGTTCCTTGTTCCTTGCCCCTGCCTAATATTTATTGCCATCCACATAAACGAGTGAGTCGTGTCTTTCCCAATTGTGGTATAAACGCAGGCAACAAGGTCATTTGATCCACTTTAATTTATTAATTAATCTTTGTGCACAAGTGTAAAATAACCTACATTTAGAGGCAGAGGAAGTATCACATGTATCAATTGTAAAGAGTATTATGTCGAGTAATATGTAGATGTGCTACATGAGGAGCTAAAAATACCATAAATGGAGTTTTTGATAATCTTAATATACATTAATTATGTCTAGTCATCTGTGACGCACTTGCTCCTTACTAGACCGTGGCAAATATATATAGGACTCCCATCTTTTAGTTATTTCAATAACCGATCCAGGCTGTCTCATGTCTACAGAGCGGTGTTTAGTCAGAGAAGGGAACTTACCTCAGTCGTCGTCGTGTTCCCCGCTACAGGAGGTGCAATGTAGGAAGCCGTCAGTTTCACCTGCTGGGCCACACGGCCATCTTTTTCAGCTTCCGCAAAGAATCTGCTATAGCTGTCTGCTGCGTCACGAGCTGCATCTTGTACACCCTGATCGACTGCTATGACACTGTCAAGAGTAAAGCACTTCTGGTCAGACGACGTGGTCACGGCAAGAACGCAGCTGGACATTGGCGGCACCATACCACCGAGTGGCTTCAAGAAATAATCCGGACTCACGGTGAGCAGCCTAAAGGCAACTCGGGCAGCAGTGCTGTTTGTTAGACGCAGCAAGGACGAGATTGTCAAATCGCTTGGATCCGAGTGGAACTGGAGCTCCACTGACTGGACGCTCGGCGATGAACGAAGGGGGATTCACATTAACAGCTGTCAATGTCGTATTCTGATATATCATATATAGGGTACAGTCTACTCTGTATTCGAAAAAGAAGAAGAAAAAGATCCCTTTCTAATCCCGGACGGAGCTTCCAACCGAGAGTAGACTTTTACTCTCGGTTGGAGGGACCAACCGGGAGTAAAAGTTAACCTTTAGTCCTGATTGGTAGCTCCAACCGGGACTAAAGGTCCCCTGCAGCAAAAGCCTGCCGCAGTAGCCGTTGGGCAGGGACCTTTAGTCTCGATTGAAACTAACAACCGGGACTAAAGGTATCTCTAGACCCGGACGCGAAAAATACTGGGACTAAAGCCAAATTTCGAGGTGGGATCAAATGTCGTTTCTCTACTAGTGAGAAGAAGATCATAGTCTATTCTAGTTCTTTTAGTCATAATATGGTATGTGGAGTGTAATACTGGGTTAACGTTCTCACATGTAAAAGAGTAAAAAAGGATTCAATGCTAACACCTAATTTCAAATAGTAATTAGCAATTACATTGAATCTTTGTGTTAGAAAAATATATAGTTGAACCTTGGTTTCCTGCTATATGCTCCATCAATTCAAACTAAGTTACTTTACATTTGGACTTGTTCACCAAGTAATTACGGTGACCAAGCCCATTCTACGTACCCTTAAGTTAATGATAAGCTAGAGAGCCTTTTTGTAGTGAAGTAGTTTACTAACAAAAGCATCTTCACATGGAATATATATTCACGCAAAACAAAATGATAATGGAAGATAGATATTGTGTATAGGATTGAACCATGGTTTTGGGAGACAACTTCATAGTCCATGTATAGCGCCCCAAGAGAGTGAAAGAACAAGCCAACAAATTATTGAAGAATGTCCTCGTGACATCAACGTAACGTAGCGTCCATATTAGAGCAGATGATGGGGGTTACTGGAGCGCTCACAGGTGATCTCCCCGATTGGCAACAAAGGCCCCCCCCAGCAGAGGAAGCAACTCCTTTGAGAGAGGGGGGATGCACCGCCATTGTATCCTACCACTCGTCACGACGCCTAGAGAGCTTTTCACAACCTTAGTGAGGAAGGATCTCTGGAGTCGTTTTACTTGAGAAATAGACAGGCCAATCTGATCAGGAGATCAGTAGGGAGCCGCGCCACCCTGCGACGGGCACGGGCGCCTCACTAAGAAAAACTTTTGCGAGGCGTTTGGAAAATGGTCTCGGAGGCGGGCGGATATTTGAACAGCATCGGTTAATGCATAGGATTAACCGAGGTGGGAATTTTTATTAACCGAGACGGTCACAATCAACCGCCTCGCAAAATTGATTTACGGCCCAAAATCCATTAACGGAGGCGGGCCTTATAAAAAGCCCGCCTCCAAAAATACCCCTATTAACAGAGGCGGTCCACTTATAAGGCCTGCCTCGGTTAATCGTGGCCAAGCCCACTAGCAATGAAAAAGCCCAAACCAGCCCAATATCACGCCCACACTATATATACTGTGACTTAGGGTTTAGCTCTCTCACTTCCTCTCCCTCACCTCTCATTCACCGGCGCGACGCGATCCCCCCTCCGCCGCGCACGGCTCTCCCTCACCTCTCACTCCACCACTCTCTCCCTCCCTCCACTCTCTCTCCGTCGCGGCGCGGCTCGACGGAGGGGCTCGGCATGGCGCGGCGCGGTGGAGCGGAGCGGGCTCGACGCGGCGGAGTGGGCTCGGCGCGGTGGATTGGGCACGGCTCAGCGGAGCGGTCTCTCTTCCTCGCCGGTGCTCAGATTCACGGCTACTGCTGGCGGATCCGGCGGCCGTGGCCCAGATCCGGCCCCCTGCTCCCGGATCTGGCCTTTCCGCGCGCGGTGGTGGCTTCGCGAGTGGCGGCGCGACCCCGAGCGGCGGCAGCTTCGTGCGGCCCCAGCAGAAGCGCCTCTCGGCGGCAGATCCAGGTTAGGCGTGCCCCCCCCGCGGCGGATCTGACGACGATGGCGCCCCGATCCAGTGAGCAACGACAGCGGCGGCCCGTGGATGGGCTCGGTGGGCTTATACACATGTTTTCCTTTTTTTATTCGATTTACCAAGGCGGGCATCCAACTGCCTCGGAAAACATCCCATTTACCATGACCTTTGCAGCGAGGCGGTTGCGATGCCCACCTCTGTTAAGTTTTTTGTAGTGGTGCCTTCTAGTGTGGTCCTGAGCCATCGATGTCCCATATTGATGGCTCAGGACATGGCCTCAACACTTGGAGCCAGCCGGGGGGTGGGGGGTGGGAGGGGGCGCTGAACTCGGCATTGCACCCACGAAGTGATGACAACAACCCACTGCAAAATCCTTATGGTAAGAGAACTTGCTCAAATGTTGGCTTTGTTCATGGGATGGGATTTGCTAGGGGTGGCTCTTCATGTTTTGACTATAGTACTCTGCCTTAGGGTAGGGGGGATGGCTCAATGCACTCGTGTGCTCCTCAAGGGGAGCATTCCTCAGGGTGAATCAATAGGATTACTGGAGCTCATTACATTTCACCTCAGTCTAGGAAACTGGAGAGGAGTGCATAGCTGAGGTAATTAAGCTGCATTTGTCCAACTATAATTTTGTACACTAAGAAACTAGAAGATCCTTCTTTACATGAGTTCATTGACTCGGAGATTGCTTCTTGCAGCCTGGAGGAATCACTTGTACAACTATCTAGATTGGGGGGAGTGAGGAGTTAGATGACGCCCCCTCAGTTCCTTGTGGCTCTACGCAGAATGGCAGTGGGCTCCTTGAAATTCACAATATTGGGCCAAACAAACACACTCATTCCTAGAGGCCCAAAAACCTAAAATGGATATGGGTGCCCAACCTTGTTTTGGGGATTGGCTACTCATCTAAGAAAGAAGAGGTTCGTTGCCTAGGATTCCAAGCCACATTTCTTTAGAAGACTGCCTCTCTTGTGTACATTGTTTGCTAAAGCTGTGAAGCAAGGGGCAATGGCAAGGAGAGAGCAACAATATGATAGGCCTTGGAAGAGGATGGCAGATGAGTGGATGAAGGAGGATGACCTCATAGAGGAGAAATTCTAGGAACAACACACTAAACAAGATTTAAGGGCTAAACTCCAGCATCTCATGGGCGCCAGATTTGGGGAAGGAGTGAAATAGGATTATTGAGGAGGGTATTGGGAAGAACATATTAGTAGGGGTGCCAAGAGATCGGAGCTGCAAGATCACCTGAGGTGTGGAAGCCACTATTCCTTTCCTTCTCGCTCTCAGGGTGAGAGCAAGGCCATGGGCAGCCAAAACTCTCACCTAAGAGGACGACGACCATGGCCACGTACCTAACAAAGATATCACTAGTACAGAGACGGCCTTTACTCTAGTCCCGGTTCCCCACCCAGGAGCAAGCATCCGGGACTAAAGGGGTCCTTTAGTCCCGGGTCAGGAACCGGGACTAAAGGGGAACCTTTAATCCCGGTGGGTAACACCAACCGGGACTAAAGGTGCCTCCTAACATGCCACGAGGCCGGCACCCTTTAGTCCCGGTTGGTAATACGAACCGGGGCTAAAGGTTATTTTTTTTCTTTTTTCTTTTCATATTTTTGTTTTCTTTTCAAAATAGGTTTTCGAAGTCGTATTGTACGCTGCTAATAATACATTTATATCGCGCGTATAGTATGTTTCGGTTCAAGCACAATGAACGTATTAAATGACACAATTCAAGCATAGAACTATATATATATATGTATATATATATGCATGCATGCATCATATATATATATTTACATGCATGCATGCATATGTGTATTTTACATTATATTATTTCATGTGCATATATTACAAAAGATTGCATTACATTGTGATATAACAAGTTTCCTCTAGCTTGGCTTCCATGGCAGTGTTGGGTCGAAGTAGAACTCACCTTTGGAATCGATGACCTGGTCATTAAAAAATCCGGCTAGACTCTTGAATTGCTTTGCTTTGGTCTTGCCGTATGACCTTTTCCTCCAACCATCGAGCCTACAGGTTTGAATTAAAGAAAAATAAATTAATATATGTACATACATACATACATACATACATACATACATACATATATATATATATATAAAGACATAGTAACACAATCAATAATAATAATTAAATAAATATATAGTGTATTTTTAACGTACTTTGAGTCTCTCTGTAGGAGTTCTTTGAGAGACCTCCTTGATAAACTTGCAAACATAGTAACCACAGTAGTTGTTCCCCTGTTCCTGCCTCAGACACCACTTTACGAGAAAAAAGATTTGTCATCCAATCTGGTGATCCGGTGAAAGCTACATGTTTAATTAATAAAGATGATGCGATTTAGGGGACTTACTTTTAAAGGGATTACATTCAGTGGCGCTTTGCATTTCCTCATGTGTTGCTTCTCAATAAAGGTTTTCCAAACACTACCCAATAAAAAATTTGCCACGTCATCAGATATAGTTAATCATCATGTTTGTGTGTATATATAGTTGCTAGAGATACTGAAATTACCTCTGGATAATATCTATCATATTTTGGTAGTCTTGTTGTGGTTTTCTCATCGAGTCATAGATTATCAAGTGACTTTTCACCAAATCGATGTCCATCAATATCCAGTGATTGCTGCATGTGTTTATAGGATATAACGCATAACACTCATTAATTAACTAGAATCAACATATGAGCCATTAAGGATGATCGACATTATTAACACTCACTTGAAGTTGTAGGGAAAGAGTATATCCTTCTTGTGGCGTTGGTTCACTAAGAAGTTCATGAGGTTACTCTCTGACTCAGACTTTCAATTAGGCTTTGGAGTAACTGGGTCTTTGAATACTATATGGGGA